ATCCTTGAAGCTTGATAAGGATGAGAAAGGCAAAGATGTTGATATTAAGAAATATAGAGGAATGATTGGAAATCTTCTATATTTAATGGCTATTAGACCGGACATTATGTTTAGTGTGTGTGTATGTACTAGATTTTAATCATGTCCCAAAGAGTCTCATTTAAATGCAGTCAAACGTATATTCAAATATTTGAATGGCACTATTAACTTAGGATTATGATATCCTAGGCATACGTCCTTTGAACTTGTCGGTTTTTTTTATACGGATTTTGCCGGGTGTAAAGTTAATAGAAAAAGTACAAGCGGTGCCTGTCACTTTATAGGTCAATCCCTCGTGTCTTGGTCGTGCAAGAAACAAAATTCCGTCGCATTATCCACTGCTGAAGCTGAATATGTAGCTGCTGTGCACAAACTTTGTATATCAAACAGTAGCTGGAGGGCTTTGGATTGTTCTACGACAAAATTCCTATCAAATGTGACAACACCAGCGCCATTTGTATATCCAAAAATCTCATTCAGCACTCTAAAACAAAACACATTGAAATTAGATATCATTTCTTAGGGGATCACGTATCAATAGGAGATATTGATTTGATATTCATTAGCACTGAAAATCAATAGGCCGACATTCTCACAAAGCCACTTCAAGAAGATAGATTTTGCACTCTTCGACGGGAAATCGAGATGGCCATGGAAAGCGAGATTCAATAGCAACGGATAAATCTTTCAAGAGTTTGCTTCTGTACTTATTTCGGCAGACCGAAACATCACTTCGGCCGACCGAAATAAGCATTTCAGCCGATCGAAAATATATTTCGGCCGACCGAAATAAGCAAGTCAACTTGCTTCAGGGTGCAAACCAGCCGACCGATGAAGTCATTTCGGTCGACCGATTCTATGCGGCTCACAGATTTAAAAGCACATGTTTGGTTTAAGTTGCCCTCACGAACCATTTTCTCTCCAAACTCATATACCATCCCTCTCTCTCTCTCACGAAAAGCGACTGCAGAACTACTTTCTCTCTCCTCTTCGCATTTAAGGTAAGATCCAACACACCTTCTCAAAATCGATTGTTTCATTGATATTCTCTGTTGGTATCTTCGGTTGCTACTCTATGTGATTAGTTTTTCTTAAAACTAGAGGTTGTTTTACACCATTCTATCTAATCCCTCAAATCTAGAAAAACCCTTGACTTTGTTTCTCATGGCCTCTAGGAAGAATCCTTCTAGGTTAGCAAGAGGATTAGAGAAACGCACCAAGCTTGCTCATGACCATGATGCCGGAGGGTCTGAGCCACCCAATCCTGAGCAATCCAATCCTTATCTTGCCCCAACCATCCGTCTCTACAAAGAACCCCACTTCAAAGAAATCTATGAAACTAAATTCCTCCATAGGACAGTTGCAAATAGCAAATTTCTTAATAGGAGTGAATGTGAAGAATTGATTATAAACACTTACTCACTATTTGATGCTATTGGTTTAGGTGGATTTGTGTCCCTCAATGTTCCTTTTTACCCCAAGCTTGTAAAACTGTTTTATACCCATCTCCAGAGGGTGCAATGGGAAAATACTTTACTTTCCTTCGTTGTAGGCACCAATATTACTATCACCTTAGCTGAAATACGCCGCATTCTTAAAATGCCTCGAGGAGATATCACATATTACACTGCCTATGATTGGTATAATGGAGAAGGGTTTGACAAGCACCAAGTGGTTCAGCAAATGAGCTAATTTCCTACCGACAATACTGATAAGATAGTTGCAAGTCAGTTAACCGTGGAAGCTGGACTCATTTACCATGTTATTATGCACACCATACTTCCTGAATCCGGTGGACGCTCGGATGTGTCTTTTATGGAAGCCTTCTTAATCTGGTGCGTACTAAACGACAAGAAGTTTGATCTAGCCTATCTCATCTTTCATCACATGCAAGATTGTGCCAAGAAGAAGAAAACTCATTTATTCTATGCCATGGCTCTTACTATGATATTCAAAGCCAACAAGGCACGGATAGCAGGAGAGGATGAAAAAGAGCTAACTAATCTCTATAGGGTTGACGCAGATCTGCTTGGCCGAATGGGTCTCAAAAAATCTGAAAACAATACTTGGTATGACCCTAAATTTGGTGATCCAGCAAATGTGGGCCAAGAGATTGTAGCTATAGCAGAGCAACAAGAAGAAAATGCAAAGGTAGATGCTGCAGCTGCAGAAGTAGAAGAAGAGGTGGAAGCAGACGAAGCTGAACACAATGAAACCAATGATTATCAAGCTCCTCCATCAGACGAAAGCTCTCTCCATGAGCTTATGTTGGAAAGCATTGCTCTTTCTAAAGAGCAAATTGCTATTGGTAAAGAAAACAAGGAACATATTCTAGCTCTGCGAGAACGGCTTGAAGAAGTGGCTAATGAAGTCGAAGCGCAATATTATTGATCTACGAGCTACCGGACTCCCTTACTTTTGACTTATTCCTTAATGTGCATCTACCCCACCTTTTTGATTGATGACAAAGGGGGAGAAGAATGTAGTAGTTAGTGATAAATTTTGAACTTAAAGTTATATGATCTTGTTTGAATATTGCTAAATTATTGGATCTTTATATATAAATGCTTTGAATCCATTTTGTTATATATCTGCAATCATTGTATGAAAATTCAAAGTAAATATGTTTTGTGCCTTGAAACTCTTAACGTTGTCTATAATATCAAGACAGAAGCACATTGACAGGGGGAGACATATAATACACTGTTTGAACCTATTTTCAAAACTATGCATATTGAAAGGGGGAGAAATTTTGTTCAGTAAACACTCTTCTTTTATGAACTCATCAATGTATTGTCATTATCAAAAAGGGGGAGATTGTTCACCTTGAATCTAAGACTTTTGATGATTACAATTCATTAACAATGTTCTATGTGTACTAATATCTACTTTGAGTTAAATCACAGCTCTTAGCATCCATCAAGGCATATCATGAAATGCACAGATGAAAAGTTGCACCACAACACAGAAGGATCATGAAGGAAATACTAAAGACATCATGTCTAAATCAGAAGCTATCAAGATCATCCTAGCAATCAAACGATCATGCAAATACTAATGAAAAAGGGGTAGCTAAGGTGGTGAGTGAATAGGAACCTTTGTCAAAGTATGTATGAACATTTTGAAGCTCATATATCTAAGGTCATACATTAAATCACTTACATCATAATCAAGAAACATAAAGAATAAACATCATCTATAAATTAGAACAGGTTTCTTAAAGGTGAAATTACATTTCGGCCGACCGAAATGGAAATACAATTTGAATCGGACGACCGATTTGGGCAGTAGCTAAGCTAAAACTAAAGTCACAACCGGTCGACCGAAATGCCATTTCAGACGACCGAAGTATAGCTGCAACAAGGCCTCGGGCTATTTCGGACGACCGAAATAAAAGCCTAATTCATTTTGGCCGACCGAAGTAAAAAAATGCAAGACAGCCTCAGGTTATTTTGGACGACCGAAACAAACTGGTGATTCATTTCGGTCAACCGACTTAGCGCGGATTCAAATTTGAACGGCTATTTTACCTTGAACTGTGTGCCCAACAGCTATAATATGTATCAGACAAATCTGAAACTCTATATAATGAGTTGTTGTCTAAAGAAATAGTGTGGAACATTTGAGATACATATTTCTGAAATCAAAAGGTCATCCAACCAACATTCATACATCTTATATCATCAATAGAGTATTGAGCTTCAATCTATTCATACATACTCTAGAGTGAGCTGAAATTTGTACTACTAATCTGTGAGAGATTATCTTGTACTGCATTTCTCTTCTTCAAACTTTGTAAGGGCTAGTGTGGCCCAAGGAAGACTAAGAGAAGGTGGTTCTCTTAGCAATTTGAAGCAAGGAGGTGATTCTTGTAAAAGGTTTGCTCTCCACCCGCAAGGAGGAGCCATAGTAGATTGGGAAGTCTCAAGAGGGGTCTTGAGCCAAGGAGTAGGAGTTTCTGAACCTCGCTAAAATTGCTGAGTACTTGTTTGCAATCTCTCTATCTCTTATATTTATTGCTTAAAGTTTAGCATGAATAATCACTTGATAAATGTTATTAATTAAGGCTTAAAACTCTGTTTGCTTTATTGAACAACTGCTGAGAAAATTAGCTTAGTACTTGCATATTAATTGAAATAAAAAATTGGCCATTGTTCGCTAAGACTCCTCCCCCCTCTAGAGTCATTACTTGGGCAACATATATATATATATATATAACTTTTATTTATTTTGATTTTAATTGAACTTAACATGATTTAATAGTGTTTTTACTGGCCTCTTTTTATTTTGTTTTATTCTTGTATTTACAACACATTTAACAGCTACATTTTTTTTTTGATAAGTATTTAACAGCTACATTTTTTAAACCCTGTAAAAAGAGGCATCTTCCATTTATTGGTGTACTTTCTCTTGAATTTTGTTACTGTGTCACTAGTTTACATATTTTTGGGAGAACTCAACACCACCTTGTGCTTCTTTGGACGCCCAAAGAAGACCACTGTTGAATTTTAGAACAGAGCATAGCATGCCTCTTATTTATCCAAGTGATTTCTTTCCTTCCAATATATTATTTTGTGTATTATATTATGATGTTTATTTTATTGCTTCATGCTTCATATTTATCAGTAATGATAGAATTTCCCCTTTGCTCATCTAATATATCTTTGTTGTTGTCTAGTTAGTTAGATTAATTTTTCAAAGCTTGTTACCAATTATTCAAAAGTTTCAAAATGACATTGGTCCTAATAAAAAGAACTCCAAGTATAATATACAACCGCCCTAACACATACCTTGAATTTTATATCAGAGGATTCTAAGAATGCCAAAAAATTGATAAATAAAGTACCCTTATAACATTTTCATGACCAAACCGCAACAAAATAAGAGAACTTCCAATTTCCAATACAATACTTGTATTCATACACATATTTACGTATATATATTCACTGAATTGGACTTACATAAAACCAGATTTAGTGAAATTCAAGTAACCATACAGACCAAAAGCCGTTGATCTCCATGTCTATAAATTTCAGAGAAAAGGGGAATATTAAAAATCAAGAAACAGAACAGAAACATAAGAAATTGAGAAAATTAAAGAAAACCCAGAAAAGAAAAGGAAACAGTAGGAATGTGTATTACCTTGAGAAGGAACATTGTGAGTAAATTAATCGAGATATGAACTTGAATTTGCATTTTCCATGATTTGATAGTTCGAAAAGTCGGGTCAGGGTGATACTAATTACTAAAGGCCGCAGTGGGGCGTAGAATACTTGGCTTTGTCGAAAGGCTTGTCTTGTTCCACGTAGAAGGTGAGGCTGTCACTCGTTCTTGGCCTTTGAGAGTCTTATTTGTCCATTCAGAATTTGGATTTAATTGCACAACACACATTTGTGAATAATAGCGCCTATGCTCCTCTAAGTACTAATTGACTGCATAAGTCCTACATATTTAAAAATTTACAAGTCCTACACAAAAAAATAATAATCTACATCTGTATCTATAGCAATATACTGTAGACCCCTTTCTCTATTTTTAAACATTTTTCACTTTTTAAAAATAAAAAAAAATGATCTTGAAATAGAGAATTTAATTTAGAATTTGAATTCACTTTTTTTTTTTTTTTAATTAAGAACAAGAAACTGAAAGAGAATTTTGGTTTTTGCTCATTGTACTAATTGTTAATTCACTATCCAAATTTCAATTACAGAACTTATTTGTGTGAGTTGCGCAATGTAGAATGGATTTGAAAGTTCGATATAAAAAATAACCTAAAGGGGGTGAATAGGTTTTACTTGCTCCTTTATACAATTTTTAATTAATTTAAATTTATCGAAATAAAAATAAAATATCAACCCACAAAGCAAAAATAAAGTTTGAGAGATGACACTGGATTTTTGTGCATGGAAACCCTAGTTGGAAGAAATCCAATCAACCGGGATGAAAACTTGGGAGACTTTCACAGTCTCGAGTGAAACGATCTACTATTTTGAAGCAAAGGACACTAGAGTTTGACACAGGCTCACACTCTTTCACTCTACCAAAACTCAACTCGTTGAACGTCCATAGGTTTGCGACTCCCCTGTCCAACAACTCACTACGTTGGGCTTACTCCTTGAACCTTGTAGAAAGATTGCTGGTAGATCAACAACACTCCGCGAATGCTTTTGACTCCTTTAAAGTGTGATCGCACCCTCATTTTCTTCAAATCTAATTTTGATGAAGAATAATAGACTGATTTTTTTGAACGGTATCAATGGATCTTCAATGATTCGTACTCCGATCAGATAAAGAACATTACCCTAAGATCACTCAAGTGTAATAGTGTGTGCTCTCAAATATATAAAAATATACAGAACAATAAAGGTGATTTTTTATAGAAAAATACTCTCAAACAATTCTCTCAATTAGAAAAATAATAATAATAATCTTCAAGCCCTTAAAAATTTAGGAGAAAAGGAGAGTTTATATAGAGTTTAGAAGACCTAATCATACTTGGAACACAAGTTAAATTCGTGCATAAAAGTCTCCAAAATTTTGATAAAAAAGAAAACCAAGTTGGAGTAGAAAAATAATTTCTAATTTGGTTTCAGGGAACTTGGACCAGTTGGAAAAAAGTGCAATTAGTCCAACTTTTACAAATTCAAAACCTTTTGTTTCAGGGAACTTGGACCACTTGGGAAAATTGGTAACCAGTCCAACTTTGGTAGTGCATTTTGTGAAGAAATATTGTTGAAAATATTTACCTAAGTGCCTAACCCTAAAATCTTACCAAAGATCAAGAATATGTGTCATCACACACTTACCTATTCTAATATATCGTTTTCATTGATTCAGAGTATGTTGACATATTCCCAATACTTCAATTCCGCTTCTAAACTCGAAACTCAAAATTAAACAATAAAATTACACGTCGATCAAACTTGTTTTGACACCGAAATTTGCTAATTAAAAAATTTATATCTCACAAGGGCTGCCATTGTCTCAGGGTACCATACCCCTGGGGTATTTAATACTTTCTCCTCCCCCTTTAGCAATTTCGTGACAAAATCCTAAAAATAAATTGTAATCTATCCAAGCAGAAAAGAAAAATTACAGTATTGTCAAAAATAAAAAATAAAAAAATAACGAAACTTTGATCATAGAAGCTTCATCAAGGTAGCAGAACATGTCTTCAATGAAAACAACTTGTAAACATGCACAATGCTCAAACAAAACTATTTGTGAAATCTTAATAAAAAAATATTAATAACATGTATCAATATATTTCCTCCTCAACATATATACACATTTCTCCCATTTTTTGTTACAAATTGATAAATAAAGCTCAATAAAGAAGGAAAATAAATAATAAGAGAGAATTAACAAGAAAAGAGACAAAAATATCAATCATGCGAGAAATATAACCATAAGCATAAAAACATGATGATATATGGTAACAAAGATAACACGTGTTTCATCCACAAAATAAATTGTACAACATGCTCTGTAATACCCCTATATTTTGAAAAAAAAAAATTTATTTAATTAAATTAATTACTTTTAATTTGATTTAAATGATTAGTTGTTTTTAATTTAATTTAAATGATTTATTTGATTTTAATTGAATGTTTGAATGATTGATTTATTATTTGGCTTGTTTCTAGTTAATTTGTGTTTTTTAGTATTTGATGGTTTAGCATGATTGTGTTATTTGATTTGTATGAATTATTTGGTTGTTGTATAAGAATGGTTGAGTGTGTGCTTATGTGTACTAATTGTGCAATTATTCTTTGTTTTAATTGATTTATTTATTTATTTATGTTTATGTGGATTGGATTTGGGATTTTGGGCCAATGGATTTGGTATTTGGCTAAGGAGAATAGCCTTAAGAGGCTAATGGGACTTAGGGCCCAAGGTTGTAAATGTGTGTATATATATATATATATATATATATATATATATATATATATATATATATTATAAGATGTGCAAGAGAGGGATTTTGAGACATTAGAGAAAAAGAGAGAGGAGGCATCTGGGAATGAGAGAGAAGGAGTTACCAAGAGAGAAAGAAAGAGGAAGGAGGAAGAGAAGAAGAAGCTAAGGCCGAGCAAAAAAAGGTTGGACCAAAGGAGGACGACACCGGCGATCAAGTAGGCTGCCAGAGTTGGAAGAGAGGACCAGAGCTTGCGGCGTTAGTTTTTGTTCCGAAAACTTCAAACAAGTTCTTTTTCTACTTCTCCTCTTAGAACCCATAAATCTCACCCCTTAGGTACCAGAATCTTAGAATTCAATCGTATGCTTAAATCACTTAGACGTAGGGTTAAAAGCATGAAATGAATCGGGTTGTATATATGTGGTTGTATGTATGTGTATGTAAAAGAGATGTTGGATTTAGGTTAATTGGAATCTTGATTTTTACTTGTTTATAATACATTTATGGATGCAAAATCACGATATAACATAACCTAGAATTAACTAGGACCGTTGCTACACGATCTGGGGCAAGGTGATGGATTTATAGACTTGAAATGAACCTATCGAGCTAATTTTACAAACCAGTACTCAAGCACTGTGGTTAGTGCTCGAGCACTAGCTAATTAATGAAACAGTGCTCGAGCACTGTTGGACAGTGCTCCAGCATGGGGACTGTATTGGCCAAAAATGTTCTGAATGGCGCCGAATTGATTTTTTAAGGTCCTAAGTATATTCTAAAGCTTCGGGAATAGTGTTATATGATTTAATTGCATGAGATTTGTATTAAACTCATATGTTTCAAGATTTTATGAAAAAGCTAACAATAATCATGTTTGAAATTATAGTATTTGAGTTAAACATGTGTTAATTGACTATTAAGTTACTATATGATATTTATTTTGTTTATACATGTTGTAAAATGGATGGAAATCATAGTAGGTTGTTTTATATATTTTATTCATGCTTATACTCTGCATGTGTTGCCTATTGTGATACCTACGGATTTCTGAATGCGGGTTGGCCAGGCCCACGCCCAAACACCCAGGGATATCAAAAACAAATCGGCAATAAACTAACACAGAGTACAAAAGAATAAATAGGAATAAATAATTTGCTGAAAGAAAATTAAAAGAATAATCCAATAATAAAACCTCTTAATAAATTTTCATTAATAATAAAATCATTTTGATACAATAAATCCTCCATTAATACAACTCGGGAATCTATACTGTGTGGACCCCTAAAAACCAATCTAAACAAGTGACAACAATAACTGTCTACAACTGAAGAACGAAGCATAAAAGAATCTCCCATGTAGAATCGGAAGAATGAAGTAGACTGATCCATGCTTAGCACAAACAACCTCTACTCCTGACGAACACCTGAAAAATAATGATGGGTCAGGCCCGCAAACAAGTTTTACTATACTATAGTCCAAGCAGAGATTCGATACACGTATACATCCTAGTCGATCCAACAATAACTAGTAATCCGTATATATATATATATATATATATATATATATATATATATATAAACACACTAAATGAACCTCACTAGACTATATGGTTGCCTCAACCTGAATAGTAGGCAACATGCAAAACGCACATATAGTGGGCATGAGTACCTAGACCTACCAGGGCACATAACTACACTATATATAGTTACACATCCCTGGCGGTATACGCGTCCCAACCACTGATCCTGAGATTCAAGCTCATGTCATGGCACCATAATTATATATATATAATTCAGTAACCATCCTATCTAGTATAAATTAATCCTCTACAAATAATCCTCTATAAGTCATTCAACTTGTTCAGCTAAATTGACTTGAATATAAGTAGGACTTAACATTTTAGTTAATCCGTTCCCTTATACAAAATATGTAAGACTTAACTGATAAGTTAATCCGTCCCTAAAGTGCCACCATCCCATACTGGTGCACTACATCCACACAATCCAATAATCGATGTAACAAATACAATAACACATCAATTAATCCAACAATTAACATAATAATATAATAGCATACTATCACAAAATAGGAATAACTTAATATTTCTTTAATCTTCCTACATCTTGTATCCTACACAAACTGAATCTTAAACATGTTGATATTTTACTAATCAGTCAAGTAAGATTTCTCTACATACAATTCATGTTACACATTTAATCTTAATTGTTAGAACAAAAATAAAGATTAAATCCATTCATTCCTCCAAGCATTCAAATAGCATGCATTGTTGCATTTAAGTTTATTTAAAATTTATTTAAACTCATCCCTAGTCCTTATTTAATGTTTAGGACCCTTCAAAATTAATTAAGATTAATTCAATCGCTTTTATGTAAATTCTCCAGGTAAGGCTCGAGCTTTTGGTCCTAATTGCTCGAGCTTTCTGTCCAAGGCTCGAGCTTCCTATCCGTTGCTCGAGGTTTACATCACAGGCTCGAGCTTTACATCCAAGGCTCAAGCTTTTCACTTATGGCTTGAGCTTTTCATTTCAGGCTCGAGCTTCCTAACCATAGCTCGAGCTTTTCTTTTCAAGCTCGAGCTTTACATCCATGACTCGAGCTTTGCCTCCAGGGCTCGAGCACTGTAACAGCAGATCGAGCACTGTTACGCGAATCTGCCCAGAACTTCTACTGTGATCTCAGTCTTTATTGTTTAAAGATTCCTAGGCATGTTTCTAAGTTCCATCAATTCACAGATATGAAAATACATCATTTAAACATGTAAAAATTCATAAAGGAAACCAGATTAAATCCATGAATTTAACAATTCATATAACAAGAACAAATATGAACAAAATTCAAAAAACCTATGTTCTAATCCAATTAAACATGCATAATTATTTAATTTTAATGTTTAAGCACCCTGAAATTTCTTAGGCATGTATAGAAACACGAATCAAAGGGAAAGAGATAGAAGAAGAACTTGCCTTAAACTTTCGGATCGAAAGTTTAACTTCTTTTTCCTTGATCTTTTTCTCTAAAGGCTTTTCTCCTCATTCTTTCCTCTTCCTCTTTCTCTCTCTAGAATATATTACGTGATATATTTTTAACCCCCTTTTACAACCTATAGTTATATATTTATAGGCTAAATAATAACCCTATTCCTTTTCCCAATCCAAGTCAACTTAATAAATAAAATTAAAATTAAAATATTAAAAAGGTAACTTAAAATATGTTACGTATATAATTTATATATATCCTTATTAAATAAACAAATTATATACATCCGATTGTTTATTAACAGATTATTTAATAAAACTCAAGTTACCATAATATTAAAAGGTAACTTAAAATATGATACGTATAAAATCTATGTAAATCCTTATAATATAAATATAAAATATATACATCAGATTAAATATTAATACTAAAGTTATCATAAAAGTAATTAATAAATTACTTTCCTTTTATATATGTATATACATATATATCTATATATATACATTTACAACTATCCATGGGTAATTATCCATACCCAACAAACCTCATATCTATGCAGTTCATGGGACCCAATTGGTTGGCCCATTATTATTAACCATAACCATAAAATAAAATAAAATAAAATATTTAATCAATTAATTTATAATTAATTACAATTAATCAAATACATCATTTAAGCACATAATCTAATTAAACAAATAATACTTAAACAAAATACAAATAACACATAGACAAATAACCAATTAATCAAGTAATACTTAATTCAATTAAACACATAAACAATTAGTCAAATAATCAATTAAACAATTAAAAATGTAATAAAACAAATAAATAAATACCGAGATTATCCATTTAAAGTTAGGCGTATTACATCTTTCCCCCTTAACAAAAAGAATTCCGTCCTCGGAATTCGCCCTTACTTTCTTCCATTATGTTTGGAAACTATGAGCGAAAAACATCATCCTATTCCCAAGTAGACGCAACCTCACTATGATAGCTCCACTTAACTCTAATTTACCAAGTAGTATACATGGTTCCTATATTTAAGAAACACAATAATCATACAATTCACAAGTTGTATCGAACAATAACGTAATCATCCTAATTTGACAAGGTAATGATTTATAGTCCTCCAAGTGCCATAGAATATACGTATAAAACTCCTATGCACCCAGCGCTAATGATTTGGTAGCGCTAATCCAGAGGCGACTGCCTCAATTTATAAACACAATCCTCTAAAAGTCAATGTACGAAGTAAAATTTGACCTTTCTCCAAAAATCGCCTTGCTTCCTATATGGAAAACAGAACGAGCAAACTACTTCCTGATAGTAAACTCTAGTATAAAAGTTCAACTCTTTATAACATCCCACTGCCGCCACCGCACGCAGTCCATTCCAAAGAGGAGTTTTTTTCTCTGACATATTTTGAAATGAAGTCAAGGTCTGATTATACAACCCTTACTTCCATTTCAAACCAACAAATGAGAGGCTTGCATTATGAAAGATACAAAACCTCCAAAGTTGTCACACTAACCTCCTTGTGCCAACAATACCACAGACAAAAACTGAAAAGCGAAGTAAATGCTTCCAATTGACCATGGAAACCTAGGATATACGCCTCAAGCATATCCTTTATGGTCTAATCTAATCTCTATATCAATTCTTCCGTCTAGAGATATGAAGCAAATCTGCTGCTCCAAAATCTTTATAAAGCTCCTTCGAAATAGCACTTTGCATCCACTATAATGGACTTCCACATCCTATAACACCACTATTGCTGTACTACAGAACTACTATGAAGCTCTAAAATTGCCTCCAATTAATGTCCTCAAGCGAACTTTCTCAATCCACCACTCTTATTCCATATGGAAAATTGAGATTCCAAATCAATGTCGATAATTCCCACCGACCGTCCACTCCTGTTTAGTTCTACTTCTATATTCGTTATAGGAAGTGGCTAAAGATTCCTATGATATCTGATGATTAACTTTTCACCTTTTGAGCAGGTGTTACACTTAGGGTAATCATATACATGTCCCTATCCGTACCTGTTCACCAAAACCGGCATTTGATGTCGTGATGTACCTTCTAACCGTCTGAGTGTACCAAGAAAAATTATTAGTGTCCATCTCAGTCGCCCGACCGTCATATTACTATTTATAGAAACTACGAAATCCTCCTCCAGTACTTAGACGCCATCTGAGTAAGGTAAAATCATCTCCAGGGCCAGCTCTAATATTTAAAGTTGACCTTCTCAACTACCTTAGTAATAGCTAGTGTTATTATTACACATGCTAACCGAAAGATTTAAATATTTTATCGTTTGTTAAGAGCATCCATTTCCACCTTTGCTTCTAACAGACGGAACTTGATGCAAAGTGTGAATCACCACTAGAATCCATCCAAACCGTCTCGTGATCCGTTCTATTCGTATGAACTGAAGTCCTACCAATTTGAAATAGACAAGAATTAAGCTGAACTGATTTATCAGTCAACCAATATCCCATCCAGAATCCTGACCCGTGCATAAAATCATCAATCCCTCAACTAAATCCGTAAAATGCTCTCTCATTTCCACTTTAGTATAGGAAATGGCTACAAGGATCTAATGATATTTGATGGTCCATCTTGACTATCTAATAAATATTAAACTTAGAGAAAAAATCACTATGTCCTTCCTCTTGCCTGTCCTCCAAAAATCTGCTTCATATCGTGAAGCATGATATGGAGGGAAAAAAATCATACCAATTACAAAACAACACGTGGCGACAAAAGGCAGCCCACAAAAAAGTTAAAAAAACTGGAAGCCCATAATGAAACATAAGCCCAGCGAAGGAAGGCCTACTTAAAACAAAGGCAGAATGAACAGGCCCAATTTTGACAAGGCCCAAACTCCATAACGCCCGCAATAATGTCAAATGCACGATCTATAGGCATAAATTACCCACGTTTAGGAATAAAAGCCAAGAAACGACTCCATGTAAATTCCTAAGCAAAGAAACACTTATAAATAGAGCCTGAACAAAGGTGAAAGGCATGAAACTCTGAATATTACTACTATTTCAAAGATTTACTTGCTCCCTTCTTAATTTTTTCTATGTGTTTTATGCAGTCGATCCCTTTAGGTGTTTGGGTGTAAAAAATTGCAGCCACACTTTGGCGCCGTCTGTCGGAACATCGATACAAAAAGTTCGTTCCCTATCCTTTGCATACAGCATCACTCCAGAATGGCAACAGAGCCAGACACTGTTCAACCATAACAATAGGAGACCATGCAGAAGATACGCGAAGAGATGCAAGCGCAACTAGATGTCCTGCAACAAGCAAATAAAGCCAGCGCTGAGCAAATCAATTTGCTAAGGCAGGCTCAAGAAACCAGCGTGGCACAAATCAGCACTTTACGCAAAGAAAACGAAAGACTCTGAGGCAACGCTCGGCGGAATGAACAGCCGAACGACCCTCGGCCCGAACGTTAGAATGAAGATCCCCCCATAGAGCCAGGCAATGATAATCTACCCCACCAATAGAAGGCTCCACGCCAACAGCTCAATGGAACGCTGGAGGACATCCATGATGCCATAAGTCAGTCGTGCACCTTGGGGAACTCCAATATTGGGGGGCCTCGAATCACCAAAGCCCATCCATCAGATAACCCTGATTCAGGTTGAAAAGAAGTGTGGACCCCAGCAACTGATCAGCCGTTTTCGGGGAACGACTTTATCACCAGGCTCCGGAAAGAAATGGACGAACAAATCAAAGGGCTGAAGGCCCAAATGCCCGAAGACATGGCGAGAGAATTTACTACATCAATAGTGAAAACCCCTTTCACAGATGAGATAGAACGGGTCGCAAGACCCAAGAAATTCACATTGCCCAAGTTTATCAAATTCAATGGGACTGGAAATCCCCTCCAGCACCTCAACCACTATACTCAGGAAATGACACTAAAGGCTCACAATGATCTATTCATGTGCAAAATATTTCTATCCAGCCTGACGAGGGTAGCCTTAGAGTGGTTTAAGAATCGCCCGTGCAAGTCGATCCCAAACTTCGAATCACTATACGTCGTGTTTTTGGCCCAGTATTGTTGAAATAAAAATCAAAAGAAAACCATTGCCAGTCTCTTTACGATTCGGCAGATGAAGGGAGAAGGCCTGCAAACCTTCCTTACCCGATTCAACATGGAGTTTTCAGGCATACCAAATTGCAATCAAGACATATCCATAGAAGCGTTCAAGATAGGCATGGTGTAAGGCTCACGTTTCCATTCTTCTCTGGTGAAGAAGACCCCAACTAACATGTCGGAGCTGAATTCACGGGCATAAAACTACATCAGACTTGAAGAAAATGAAGTAACTAGGCAGCAGAGAACGACACTAGTCACAGTAGAAAATTGACTGAATGAGCGATCGAGCACCCCGAGGGCCCATCGGGAACCCCCGACTATTGAGGGACGAGCCCCTGAAAAGAAATCCCGAACAACCGAAGGGTCACGTAACGCTGGCCAGACTGTACCAAGAGACCAAGGCAAGAAACATCTTCCAGATCCCACCACCAATCAGACAGCCAATGGAGCAAAGAGACCAGAATAAACACTGTGCATTCCACAGTGATTTCGGTTACCTGACCAATGATTGTAGGAGCTTGAGAAGACAGGTGGAAGCGTTAATAGCTAAGGGTGAGTTAACTGAATACTTGATTACCCTGGGGCAACAAAGGCAGCAAGATCAAGCCCGGGCAATTCCAAAAGCAGCGGTAGAGAGCCATCCTGTCCGGGTAATTAACACAATTCATGGCCGTCCAGAAGAAAACGAGCAATCGGGAAATTTCTACAAGATCCAGCTCAAACAAGCCTATAAGCTGCGGAGGATTGGGGAAATCAATACCGTCGACGGTAAACCCAATCCAGCGCAAGTTTCTTTTCATAAAGGGGATCTCATAAGGGTGCAACACCTGTACGAAGACCCAATGGTAGTTAGTCTACTAGTGGCCAACTATCTGGTCAGACAAGTACTGATTGACCCCAGCAGTAGTGCTAATGTCATAATAAAGTGGACGTTCGATCAGTTAAAATTGGCTGCAGACCAGATTCGTCCCACTAAAAGTCCTTTGGTAGGATTCAATGGAAGAAGAGTGGAGCCCACAGGTGTGATCACGCTATCAGTCACTACTGCTAAAAGATCTCTGAAAGAGAACTTTGTGATTGTGGATATTCACCCGGCCTACAATTTGTTAATGGGTCGAGGATGGATCCACCGCATGGAAGGAGTCCCATCAACCCTGCACCAAGTCATGAGATGCATAAGCCCGAATAGTCAAGAGGTCATTGATATCTGGGGGACCAGGTAACAACAAATGAGTGCTACCACATGACGGTTTATCCTTCCGAAAAGGGCAAGAAATTGCTGAAATAGCAATTACCGAGCTCTTCCCCTCCAAAAGAGATGGAGGAACCCGAAAAAACACATCTTACTGTAGAACCCCTAGAAGCCATGTAGATAGTCGCAGGGGATGAGCGCAAGCTGACCTACATAAGGACTCTCCAGTCAGTTCAGGAGAAGGAGGAACGCAGACATCTTCGCTTGGAATCACTGGGACATGCCGGGAATTGACCCATGGACGGCCTGTCACAGCCTGAACGTAGACCCAGCCACCATCCGGTGAAGCAAAAACAAAGAAGGTTTGCCCCTGAAAGGAATAAAATCATTGCCGAAGAAGTCAATTGACTTTTAGAAGTAGGGTTCATCAGAGAAGTCCAGTATCCTCAATGGTTGTCAAACGTGGTGGTTCTCTAGAAAAAGAATGGTAAATGGTGAGTATGCATTGATTTCACAAACCTGAACAGAGCGTGCCCAAAAGATAGTTTCCCACTCCCCAAGATCGATCAGATGGTAGACGCTACGACCGGATATGAAAAACTGACTTTCCTTGATGCTTACTCGGGCTACAACCAAATCCTGATAAACCCTTCGAACGAAGAAAAGACTTCTTTCATCACCGAACGGGGGACCTATTGCTACAAGGTAATGCCCTTCGGGTTAAAAAATGCAGGAGCAACTTATCAAAAGCTGATCAACAAAATGTTCGAAGAACAGATCGGATGAACGGTCGAAGCTTACACAGACGATATGGTGGTGAAAAACAAAGTTAAGAAAGATCATCAGCAACACCTACTGGATGTGTTTGATACTCTCAGGAAACATAGAATGATGTTAAACCCAGCAAAATGTTCGTTCAGAATGTCCTTGGGACAGTTCCTCAGTCACCTAGTGAGCAAAAGGGGAATAGAGGCAAGTCCCACTCAGTTGGCAAAATTACTACAGAGTCGAGAGCCCCGGACCATGAGGGAAGTCCAAATCCTCACTGGGAGAGTAGTGGCTCTTAGCCATTTTATATCCAGACTATCAGATAAGTGTAAACCATTCTTCGATGCAATCAGAGCTAGAAAAGGAGATATCTAGGGGGTAGAGCAGAGAGAAACTCTCGTGAAACTCAAGGAATACATGACAAATCCCCCAATTCTATCTGCTCCAGATGCCGAAGAGCCGTTATACCTCTACTTAGCAGTATCTCAGTCAACAACTAGCTCAGCCTTAGTAAGAGAAGTGGGAAAGAAGCAACACCCGGTCTTTTATTCCAGCAAGGCCATGACCGACGCAGAGAGCCGGTACTCAATGGCAGAAAAAATTATCCTTGCTTTAATTCAAGTTAAAAGGAAACTCTGATACTATTTCGAGGCTCATCAAATAGTAGTTCCCACGATACATCCTATCAAAGCAGTCCTCAGTAAACCAGACATCTTAGGTCGGATCACCAAATGGGCAATTAAATTAAGCTCCTTTGACATCCAATACGAATCGCGCACCGCCAAAAAGGGGCAAGTGGTTGCAAATTTTCTCTTGGACATTGACCCAGGGGAAGAATAGCAAACCATGGAAGAACCTTGCTGGGAATTATACGTCGATGGTTCTTTGAGTCAAAACGGAGCCGGAGCCGGAACAAGAGTAGAGATAAGAACCCCTAAGGGGACCAGAATCCAACAATCAGTCTAACTAGAGTTCTTAGTCACAAACAATGAAGCTGAATATGAGGCACTACTGGAGTTCTCAGATTGGCCAAGGAACTCCAAGTAAAGCACCTCAAAGCCTATAGCGATTCGCAGCTCATCACAAGGTAGGTGACGGGATAATACACCACCAGAGAGGGCAGAATGAATGCATACCGAGAAAAAGTTGAAAAAATGACAAAGTACTTCAATACAATCAAATTTCAGCAGATCCCTAGGGAAGAAAACCCGATAGCTGATCGTTTGGCGAATGCAGCATCCTTAGCGGACGAGTCACTCACCAGAGTCGTCCCTATTGATGTCCTAGAAACACCAAGCATCACAAGGGGAGTGCAGGTTTTGGTTATCCCATAGGAACCAAGCTGGATAGATCCAATATTGGCTTACCTTGAGAGAGGGGAACTCCCCAATTCTAAGGAAGTAGCCCGGCAGCTAAGGATGAAAGCTGCCAAATATTCTGCGGTAGGAGGACAGCTCTTCAGACGATCGCACTCCGGACCCTACCTCAAGTGTCTGACCCCAATGGAGTCCTGAGAAGTTCTAAAATAGATACATGAAGGGGAGTATGGGAATCATTCTGGGGGCAGGTCCTTGGCTCATAAAGCTCTCACTCAAGGTTATTTCTAACCCTATATGGCAAGGGAAGCAGAAGAATACTCTCGCAGATGCGACAAATATCAAAGATATTCCCTCCTCGTCCATCTACCCCCAGAAAAAATACACACCATGAGCAGCCCATGGCCGTTCGCACAATGGGGAATGGACGTGGTAGGACCCCTAGCAATGGCGGCATCACAGAAAAGGTACGCCTTGTTAGCCACTGATTATTTCACTAAATGGGTAGAAGCAGAGGCATATGCGAGTGTGACTAATGTCCAAGTGAAAAAATTCGTTTGGAATAACCTGATATGCAGATTTGGAATCCCAAAATCCATTATCATGGACAATAGGCTGAATTTGGATAATCAATACACTCAACGTTTCTTCGACAAGTATGGTATCAACCAGAAAGTGTCAGCTGCATGCCACCCCCAAGGTAATGGGCAAGTGGAGAAAACCAACAGGACGATCTTTGCCTGCATTAAAAAGAAGCTTGAAAATAAAAAAGGGAAATGGTTAGAAGAATTGCCAAATGTCCTATGGGCATACAGACTCACCCCGAGACGTCCCACTGGTGAAACCCCTTTCTCTCTAGCTTACGGCATCGAGGCCGTAATCCCCACAGAAGTGGTTGCACCCACCATCCGAAGCTTAGCTTGGAACCAGGAGTCAAATAATCAGCTTCTGGAACACAGTCTAGATCTATTGGTAGAAAAAAAGGAAGCCGCAGCCATCCGGCTAGCAGCCTACCAGCAGAAGATAGCAAATAGTTATAACAAAAGGGTCAGAAGGAGAAGCTTCAATCTAGGAGATCTGGTGCTCCTGAAATCAGAAAAGTACGTCAGCAAATTGGAACCTAATTGGGAAAGGCCATACCAAATATCAAATGTGATTGGAAAAGGAGCTTACAGACTTCGACACTTGGATGGCACCGAAATGACCAAGCCGAGGAATGCAATGAACCTGAAAAGGTACTTTCAATAAAGTAAATTGTACAGTGTTTTCTAATACTCTACCTTTTGAAAAAATAAAGCTGCTGACAGCCTTTTTTTAAATGTCCCACATCGAATAAAAACAAAACTTCTAACTATTATTTAAAGTGGAATAACACGAGATCTAAACAGTAGAGTGGACCCCCTGATGGTAGGCGACCCATAACGGGACCCACCATCAGGGGTTTCCACTTCACACTTTTTATCTTTTATCTTACCACAAATAAGGTCTTATCAACTACGAAAAATGATGTCCCACATCGTTCAAAAAGTGGAATCTAACCCCTTTTTTTTTATAAGGATCCATACTTAAGTGCTTATCAGTGTGTGGGACCCATTGACAATGGGACCCCACTTATGACACTAAAGTGCCCCATTGTCAGAGGTCTCCAAACACTCCCCACATATTTTCCCCTTTTTTAGAAAGTACGGTCCCACATCGACAAAAAAGGAAAAGAATCCCTTATTATTATAATATAACCTGCCGGGTATACAATCAGCGAGTGAGGGCCCTAAATTACGAGGCCCATGGATAGTCTCAGCTCATTACCAGAGGGGGTCCGTAATGTAGGGTCTTCCCCGCTTTCTTTTGGGATAGGTCACTTCTTTTCAAATCCCTATCTCACTTTAAACAGAAAATGTGTTTTCTATAAGACATAAATCGTTTAAATTCTAAACGTTAGCAAGGGAACGCCCACACAAAGAAGGCCCAATAAAAGGGGTCAACTCACGACAACACACTCAAGATGGACTTACGAATAGGCGAAGGCCCCAAGAGCCTAACCCCCGAACAGGCTTGACCAGATAAACTGCTCAAGTCCAAAAAAGCCGAATGGCCCCAAGAGCCGATCGCAAAATAGGCGAAGGCCCCAAGAGCTTAACGCCCGAACGGGCTTGACCGAATAAACCCCTCAAGTCCAAAAAAGCTGAACGGCCCCAAGAGCCGATCGCAAAATAGGCGAAGGCCCCAAGAGGCTAACGCCCGAACGGGCTTGACCGGATAAACCGCTCAAGTCCAAAAAAGCTGAACGGCCCCAAGAGGATCGTAAAATAGGCGAAGGCCCCAAGAGCCTAACGCCCGAACGGGTTTAACCGGATAAATCGCTCGAGTCCAAAAAGGCCGAACGGCCCCAAGAGCCGATCGCAAAATAGGCGAAGGCCCCAAGAGCCTAACGCCCGAACGGGCTTGACCAGATAAACCGCTCAAGTCCAAAAAAGCCGAACGGCCCTAAGAGTCGATCGCAAAATAGGCGAAGGCCCCTAAGAGCCTAACGCCCGAACGGGCTTGACCGGATAAACCGCTCAAGTTCAAAAAAGCTGAACGGCCCCAAGAGCCGATCGTAAAATAGGCGAAGGCCCCAAAAGCCTAACGCCCGAACGGGCTTGACCAGATAAACCGCCAAGTCCAAAAAAGCCGAACGGCCCTAAGAGCTGATCACAAAATAGGCGAAGGCCCCAAGAGCCTAATGCCCAAACAGGCTTAACCGGATAAGTCGCTCAAGACCAGAAAAACTGAACGGCCCTAGGAGCCAATCGCTAAATAGGCGAAGGCCCTAAATTCCTAACGCCCGAACGCTAATTGCAAAGTAGACAAATACATCGAATCACAAGCAATAATGTAAGCAAAAGTAATCCCAAAGATTTTCAAAAGAAAACCTTTATGTTCTTACAAGTAGGTGAGGGTTTTTACA